CCCCCCCCCTTTTTTCCTTTTTCCCCTGGGGGGGGCCCGCCCCTTTAAGGGGGGGGGCGGGGTTTTTTGGGGCCCCCCCCCCCTTTTCCCAAAGGGAAGTGGGTTTTTTTCCCCGGGGAAAATATTCAGGGGGTCCCCCCCCCCCCCCCCCCCCCTCCCCCCCTGGGCTTTTGTTGTAACCCCCTTGGGGAAACCCTGGGCCCCCCCCCCCCCCCGGGCTTGCAGGTGGTGTACCCCCCCTCGGATGCATCCATGTCTTTGGCGGACTTCGATCCGCGGGAAGCGCAGCGGGTGTGCAGGGAGTGTGAGCACGTGCTGGCACCGCTGCAAGCGGATCTACAGGTACTGGTTGACTGTTTTCGTTGTTGTTGTTGATGTTGGTGGTGGTGGTGGTGGTGGTGGTGGTTGTTGTGCTATTGCTTCTGCTGGTATAGTAGTAGCGATGGTGGTGATAGTGTGCTATTGTCGTTGTTGTAGTGTTGCTGCTGTCGTTGTTGCTGTTGGCGGTAGTGACGATGGTATCTGCCTGGAATACGAGACAGGTAAATATGCGGCTGGTACCGAAAGCGTGCTCGCTCTCTAAGAACCGTGGTGAATGGGAATGGCGGGAGTGAATCATTCCGCACCTCCTCCTCGTTCGCCAGGATCCGACGGTGCTCTCATTTGTAACGCCTTCACGACACACTTGTTGTAACAACAGCCTCTTTTGCCGTTTCTACCATGAAAGCATGAAAGCATGGGAAACGGCGTGAGCAGGGTCCGCCCGCCCCCTTGAGGGTCGTTTTTGGGCGACGCGAGTGCCATGAGTGCCCGTTGTGTGTTGACTGATCCCGTCTCCTGGTGGTAGCACCAAGACTAGCAACAACGAATAGGCTTTGGCTGTTTTTGGCGTCGGCGCCATGCTGCTAGTGCTAAAAGTTTGGACGTTACAGACATGCGGTGTGTCTTTTTCGGCGTCTCCACTGTAGCGGCCGTGAGAAAGTGTACTGTGGATTGCTGATTAGTTCCTTCGGTGATACTCGGAGCATGTCTTTTAGATGCCTCATGAATTTCGGTAACCTATGTTATTTTCTGCCCGTGTGTCGCGTTGATGCACGGTGCGGACGCACGGCGCTTCTGTTTCTTTCGTGACGTATGTCCCCGCCTTTGTTGCTCTTGTCGTGTCTGTTCGTGTTGTTGTCACTTTTTTTTTTTTTGCAGCTAACGATGACGCACGCTGCGATGCCCACCCATCACAGCAGGGCCTCAGTGGAGCGGTGAGTTAATTTCGAGAACGGCCTCACGTATGTAGCCTTTTTTTCATCTCCTTTACCTCGACACACCTTTCACTATTGGTTTTCGCTTGTATTTTTTGCCGCCATCCACACACCCCATGCCGGCCCCCGATCATGTTTGGAGTTGCGGCAGCTGTGGGTATTCTTTGCTGTTGGTTTCGCCCCCCTGCCATACGATGCGATAGGCCCTTCGCTCGAGCTCTTCGTGAGACTGAAACCGTCAAGTCATGGTCGTGCCATCTGGCACACCACCACTCAGCGCGCTCTCTTCTCACACACGTACCGTTTGTTCAGCGTCGTATGCATGCATACCAACGCCTCTCCTGTTTGCTCAGCCGTTTTTTGGCATCATGCACGCGCTCTCTCACACACAACGACGTCGTATGCATACCTCTCCTGTTTACTCAACGTTTTAGCATCATGCGCACCCTCTCACACACACGACGCTTCTTTGAGACGCCGCGTGCTCATCCTCTCGTGTTTTGTTCAACCGTTTTTTTTTTTTGCATTTATGCACGCGCTCTCACGCACGCACAATTTTTCTTCAACGTGGTTGTATGCGCACCTCTCCTATTTTGTTCGACCGCTGTTTGCATCATGCGCGTTCACACGCTTCTTCGACGCCGTATGCATACCTCTCCTGTTCGCTTGCCCGCCTCTTGCATCATGCGGGGCCCCTTGCCTTGTCACAGGTACCTCAACTCCCCCGTGACGTTCGACCTCACGGGCGAGATCTTGAAGGCCTCCAACACGCTGCTAAACTTCACCGGCGACAACGTCATCGAGGGCGCGGACAGCATCCCGCAGGACCTGATCGCAGACGCCAGAGGCCTGGCCTTCATCACCTTCGTCAAGGTAAGGTGCACACGATCACGATCACGATCACGATCGCATCACACATGGGCTTGGCCTTTTAGAAGTGTCTTCTGTTTTCAACGGCACTGAGACTGGAGTCTTTTCATCAAGTCAGCCGGTTTTAGCGGTCGATGCTAACAATACAGACGCACACACACACTTTGAACAGCACTGACGTATTTTCATTGATCAGCCGGTTAGCGCGATCGATGCTAGTACATTGGGGGCGGGGGCTGCTTATTGCCGCTATAGTGCCCAGGGAAGGTGCCCGGCACTATTCGAACTATTGAGATGACTTTGTGATTTAGTGTGTGCCCGTCGAAAACACTATATACCGGCACTCAACCGGCACTAAACAGCCCCCCCCCACACACACACACTGTACTAAAAACACACACGAACGACCTTGCAAGCACGGTTGGCTCGCGGTGCCATGGGACTACTGTCTATGTTGTTCTTTTGTAGGTCGCACCTGCTGTACCTCTAACGGGCAGTATTTTGAAACGTGCTTCCTCCCCATGAAAGGCTGTGTGAGGGTCACAAGGCTCCTGCAGTTTTTGATTGGTGGAGGTTTTGTGATGGATTATGCTCGCTGCGTTGTTTGGGGTTAGAGGGCGATGGTGCTATGATTGCTTTCATCACCCTTGGTGGACGCCCACCGACCAAACATTGCATCTTGAGTGGCGCTAGAAAATTATTTGATATTGTTTGTCGTCGTGCAATTCTTGTTGTCGAAACGGGCGCAAAGTTACCGCTGTTCATATCCACGCGGGAACGAACAGCTTGGATGTCTATCCACAGCAGTGTGCAGACGGGCACAGGAGTGATCATCGCGGCCATCCGTACTTTGTCGTCCTAGCTACAACCGATTGGTGTGCTTGTGTGTACTTACCGCGTCGATGATTCCCGGCGGCGGCGTACGCCACGTGGGGGACCAATTTTCCAGGCCGGGCTGTTCGTGACGGCGAGAGTGGGCACGGGACTGGTGGTGGCGAGAAGGCCGGACGGGGGGTGGTCCGCACCGTCGGCCCTGGGGAGCTTCGGCCTCGGCTGGGGGTTTCAAGTCGGCGGGGAAGTGAGTATCGTACGTTTTTTTTTTTTTTTTCTAGTGCAATAGTAGTGTTGTTGTTGTTGTTGTTGGTGGTGGTGGTGGTGGCGGTGGTGGTGTTGTTTGGTGTTTTGCTGATGTATTGCTGTTTCATGTGCTTTTTTTTTTGTATTGGCGTTGTTGTTGTTGCTGGTGTTGTCGTTGCTGTTGTTGTTTTTTCCTGTGCCTGTTCGCGTGCGTTGACGTTTTTAAGCGTGTGGCTGCCCCGTCCCCAAACTAATGCAACATATCCCCTCCGTCTTGTGTGTGCACTCAGACAGCGCTAACCGGCTCTCACCCTCTTGTGTGTTTGCCAGAACGATAGTTGTAGTAGCGGCGGCTGCGGCCGGACCCGAAGATTTTTTGTGCACAAATGCGTTTTTTCCGTGCTAGTTCGTTTTTTTTCTCAGAGTCAACAGCACCCCCATCGTCATCCTGCACGCATGAAACGCCTGCTATTTTTTTGCGTTTTTCCCGCTGGATCGTGCTTGTGCGGCTGGGTGTACAACGCAGCTGACGGACGTGGTGATCGTGCTGAACACCATGAGCGCTGTGGAGGCCTTCACTGGTACCGGACAGGTAACTTGCATGAGATATGACCCTTCCAGACCCTTGCTCGTAGCGGAAGGGTCGTTGTCGATGCTGTTGCTGTTGCTGTCCTTGTCTTCGGTGATGGTGGTGGTGGTGGTAGTGCTGCTTTGTTTCCGAAGCGGTGCGTTGAGAATGGTCCACAGGAATATGGTAAACAGCGACATCACCCCCCCCACACACACAAACGCATTTGGTGATGTGTGGGCTCCGTCCAGGCTTTGTAGGGGTGCTAGGTCAATGGTCTACGGCGTGCACGACCATGAGTACATCCCCCCCCAAACCGTACCACTGTGCCCCCCAAGGTATCTCTCGGAACGGAGCTGAGCCTCTCCGTCGGCCCCGTCGGCAGAACTGCCTCAACCGACATCAGGGCCGGCGACGGCGGCGTAGCGGCTGCCTTTTCGTATGCCCACTCCAAGGTATGGGGACACACCGCCGTGTGCTGCCGCTAGCTCTGGTTGAATGACATTGCTTTGTTGGCGCGCCCTAGCCCGTACACTGACTTCTGCCTTTCGTTCTCCCACTCCAAGGTATGGGCACTGTGTGTTGCTACTGCTGTTGCTGTGTGAGTTCCGGTTTAATGGTTGCCTTAGATCACCGTAGCCCGTAAGCTAGTGGTGATTTTGCGTCACCCCTCACAGCGGGAAGGACGGAAGTTCTAAGCTCGGGGAAGAGCTGCTTCCGGACAGGGACATCGTCCTTTTCATCGGTCGCCACTTGAGTAGGGAGGGGATGGCATTGTATGGAGAGGATGCGCGGATGGCACGTAGGGTCTGACGGATGATTTCCTTTTCACATCCCGGTGCCTGGTCTACAAACGCCAACTGTTGTTTGCTTGTAGGAAGAACTTATGTTATATCACGTTAACAAACGACGTTGCACACAAATGGCGCCATTTCCCGCTCACCGCCATCGCAGACTCTCCGTGCTCTCACAGACGGATACAAGGTGGTTGAACTCCCCCCCCCTCCCCCCGCTGCACGTGCGTCCATTACCCGCCTTTCTTGCTCGCGTCAAAACCCACGCTATTGGTCCGGCCGGCCTACTACCTTCTACTGGGGCTACCAAACAGGGCGTGTTTATCGGGGTGTCTCTCGAGGCAGCCACCATGGTTACCCGCAAAGACACGAACCGCGATTTCTACGGGACCAAGGTTTCTGCGCAGGAGCTCCTGCTGGGCGACTTCCCCCCCCCGAAGGCAGCCGAGCCTCTCTACAAAGCCCTCGAGGAGGTGGGAGAAGCATGGCAGACTGGGCAAAAATTTCGTATGATTGTGCATGGTGCCGTAATTGTGGGCGACAGTGATCCCCCCCCCGTGTTGGATCTGGTACCTGTACCATCTTTGTTGGTTTGCCCCCTCCCACCCTCCTTCCATGTACCATCGTTCCATAAACCACCGTTCCATATACCACCAGGTAGAGACCCGTCACACCGTGTGGGAGCGCAGCCGCCTTATCCCTCCCGGCACGGCAGCAGCGGGAATGGGCGGGATGGTCGGCGGAGGCGGCGGCGGTGGCGGCGGGCGAGGCTCAACGGACGCGCACTACGCCCCCTTCCAGCCGGACGCGGAGAACCACCTTAGAAATTTCGCGGTGACGGCGGACGAGCGCAGGCAGATGGAGGAGGACTACCGCCTCGCGCTGGCGATGCAGAAGGGGGAAGCGGCGGTGGCCAACGGTCCAGGTGATGAGGGACGTGGGAGGGAGGGAGGGAGGGAGGGAGAGAGGGAGGGAGGGAGAGAGGGAGGGATGACGAAAACGATACACACAAACACAAACGGAGGAACACAAATGCGGCTTTACGTCTCGGTAACGCCGGCAAGAGAACTGGGTGGGCTATCCATAAACCTGCGCGGCGAGGGGCAGGTGGGTGGGGGGGGGGGGGTTGGGGGCAGCGGCAGCGTAGTTTTTTGTGTCATCTTCTCACGTAATTTGACCGCACACTCGTCCCTAGCTGCCTGCACATTCCGGTATGATGAGCCCGCAGACAAGCGTTGATGAGAGCAGCGGAGTAACCTCACCTCACGCTTTGTCGGACATTGGCAGGGGGCAGGGGGGTCCCAGTTGGGGCGCCAGCGCAGGCGCCTCCGTCTTCTTCCGCAGCATCGTCCTCGTTTCCGCGCATGCTGGGGAACGAACGGGACGGCAACAGCGGCGGGGGTGGCGGGGGCGGTGTCTGGAGAAGGTCGTCGGGAAGCAAGGGGGACAAGGACGATGAGTGGGAGCTGGAGCGAAGAGCCCGCATCGAAAAGGTACGAGCGGCATCCAAGACCACCGCGACAGCAGTACAGCAGTGTATACGCTTCTGAGGTGCTGACGTGTGTTCATTGGCCTGCCGGTTTAGTGCGGTCGATGCTGGCGATGAGGGCACACACACACAGGCATGCAAGCAATGCTCATCTTGTTTAGGACCTACACAGAGAGACTGCCCATTCGAGATACAACCACGACAGCCGAAGCGGATGTGTTTGATGTCTTAAACAATGAATGGGGGACAAGACCTGCTGGATACCTGGGCTTATCTTGAGCCTATTTAAGCCTCGACATGTACTTTTTGCTGGTTTCTTGGAGTCTATTTAAGCCTACACGTCACTTTTACTTCTTACCGGTACAGGCGCGAATGGCGGAGGCTGAGGAGACCGCCACCGCCGACAACGAACTCGGCGAGATGGCTTCTTTCCTCAACGAAGGAAGCGGGGGGGGAGGGGTAGGTAATGGCGGTGGTCAAGAAGCGGCATCGTGGGATCAGGAACTGGAAACAGGAGGGGCGTTCAAGGGGGGCCACGGACCGGTCTCTGACGGAGAGGAGGTGCGTTACATTGTGTCCAAGCCTGTATGATACCAGTACTTTTGTTGTTTTTTCTGCGTGCGTTGTGTGTGTATGTACGTCGCCGTTTTGCTATGTACCATGCCTTAGCAGCCTTCTGCACCCCGAGAGGCAAACCAGGTGTACCCGAAGGGACTCGTCGATGAAACTGTCATCAAGGAGTCCCCTCCGATATATGCTGCCCGCGCGCTCGTATTTTGGTCAGTCTTGGCGACGTTGGGCCTGGTGACTCATGTGGTGCCTCTTTTTTTTTTTTTTTGGTGGTGCGAAGTACACACGCAATCGGTTCCCCTTTCACTGTTTTTGCTTCGATGTATTTTGTCGTTGGAAAGTCCACGAGTGTTTCTCCTTGGAACAAAGGGTGATCGCTGCGATGGTTTCGGTTGTCGCGCAGCGCACGCGTTCAAGACCATTTACGTGGTGCGCCATGCGGAAGCGGGGTGGTGGTAGCGGTCCAATGATGAGCTGTCGCCGAAGGCTGCGTGCGCTCTTGGCTCGCTTTCAAGAGTCAGTCTACGCCCCCCCTCCCCCCGTCTGTCCTTTTTGTTGTCCTCGTCGCCGTGTTCCGGCCTTCCATTTTTCCGTGCGTGCCGTGGCTCATGCCTTGCTGTTTCTGTCACAAAAAAAAATGCTTTCCATGCTTCTGGACAACAACCACTCACTGCCACATACTCCTGAGCACTGTGAGCAGCCATGACCCCCCGCCCCCCCACAACCCCCGTTCCTTCCTTTCTTGAGAGGGGTGGTCAATTGTTTAACCGTTGATGGGTCCCCCCCCCCCCCCCGATAGATACCCCCCCCGATAGATAGACTACATGGGACATCGGTAGGATAGACAAACTAGGGAAGACATTTTTGAGCCACCTTGGGCAAAGTAGGAAGGAGCGATTGGCCATCGGTGATCGGTCCTTTGGGAACAATGGTCCGTCCTCTCGAGGACGCGTGGTCAATGGTCTACCCGCTAAGGTATGCAAAACATAAGAGTACCCCCCCCCCCCCCCACCCCCCCC